AAAAACCAAATCACAATTTAGCTTCACACAAAAAAATTACAGACATTTTCATTGTGCTGTTGATATCACTAAGTGAGATAATGCTTCCGTGCTGTCTGACACATCTTATTCATAATGTGAGTACTAATATAACCTAATATTTGGATGCCTGGATATTTCCTTGGTATTTGTCACCAATATTGGGCAATGTTCAGTCAGAAAAACTGGATTAAATATTTTAAACATATGTGAATGAAAATTTTTCCAATGAGTGAGAGGGTAAGAGGCAAAACTTTGAAGACATCTTGTAAAGGAGGAGTTACAGAAGGTAAGATTGATGTTTATGTTTTCAGTGTTACAGTTCTATTTATAGAAGGCATTTTTTTCATTTAGTTATAATTACATGTTATACAATGTTAAAGAAGAATATAGAATTCTTGTCACTGAGGTACCAGTTTTTTCCTAAGTGTGCCTGAGGAAGGTAAGTTTTATTAGACATCTAAAATGTTGCAATCTATAAGCAATAATTTTCCCCACTTCAGAGTACTGTTGGTGACAAAATTTCTACTAAATATATTTTTCTCAATATTGTATCTTTCATCTATGATCTAAACAACTGATCTCCATATGAATCACCTATCTTTGTTACCTGCTAGTGGCAGAAACTTGGGCAAATCATTTCACGCTAGTGTCTCAGGTTAGGAAAGATGATATCCATTGGTGTTTTTTAAACTATGAGTCATGATCTCATTCCTGTGCCACACCAGTAGTTTTAGAAAATAAAATGTAGCTGACAAAATTTGAATACAAAATGTAGAGGACAAGACACATGACAAAGCTAGTTTGTAAATTTTGTTTCAGTTTTAAACACATGTACATATACTATGTGACAATGCAAAACATATTCCTTTAGTATGAGTTGCAGGAAAAAGAAGTTTGAAAAATATTGTTCTCAAGAATCATCAGCCCATTCTAACTCAAAAATGAAATTACTCTATTTTCCAGCTTAGAAATTCTGAAAATGATGACTTTTAACTCAGTGTCATATGGCTTACCACTTGACAGACAATAGTAGCTAGCTATGGGATATTTAGTTGAAGTGATTAGAAAATATGTATTCCCTCAATTAGTTGTAACCTTTAAAAACCATTGCAAGGCTTTAAAAAAGAGCTCCTTGGGCTTTCCTAGAGGCTTTAGACCCCTCAAACAAATCAACAAAATGTTAAGTGTCAATAATTTTGTGAAAATATTAAGTGGCTCTTGTACGCAACATATTTTAGTAAGCACTGAGAGATATAAAAATGAACTGGTATGGTTGCTGAATTCATTGAATTTATAATTTTTAGGAAAGTATTGGCTATAAAAAGAAAACATCCTATGCTTAACTAGAGTTCATATGTGTACTATTAAGAAATGTTATTCTTAATAATCATTAATACAAGCTGTCATTTTTAATCTGACTCATTCATTCAAAAAACATTTTTACTGTCTCCAGGTGTTTTTCTAGGCTTGATGTTCCAAGGTTAAAATAACAAAGTTGGTACTCTGAAGCAGCTTAAAGTGGTGTAAAATACAGAAAGTAAGCAAGTAAACAAAAAATCCAATAGTGATAAGTGTCATGATGATGGATAGGCATTACCTAAGGGCTACTTTTTATTGGATGGTCAAGAGAGGTCTATGAGTACATACATTTAAAACTGAGATATGAATGACAAAAGAAGATGGTTTCTAGGAAAAGGAAACAGCTGGGCAAATGCCAGATACAAGGCAGATAGAATCTTGGTCTGTTTGAGGAATAGGAAGTAGATGAGAATGGCTGCGGGCTAGTGAGGAGAGATAGAATAGTAAGAGATGAGGTAGGAGAGGTTGAGAGATGTCACCTGGCTGAGTAAAGCCTTGTAAACCATGGTAAAGTGTTTGAAGTATATTTTTATTGCCATGGGGAGCCATTCGAGGCCTATCATCAAGGGACTTCTGTAGTCTGTTTTTTTTTTTTTTTTTTTTTTAAGACCAGTAGCATTGTTGTATAAAAAAACCAGATTTTTTTTTTTTGATTGCAATACTCCTTTATTATTTTAAATCTGCCAAAGATAGAAAAAACTCTTAATGACCTGCTGATGTTGAAGCATCTCTGTGATGGACACAGAGATGAATCTTCATCTGGTTGATCTTTGTTTTCTACAACATGTATGGCTAACCACTGCACAATCCAATTGCATGAGACATTGGTTGGATGTGAGAGTGAGTAAAAATGCCTATTAAAATGCTAAAAGAAATTCGTATACAACAACAGCATTGTTGAGTGCAATGATAATGGAACAATTCTCATAGTAAAAACCAGAAAAATATACCACTACTTCAGCATAACCTGCTATAGGTTAGAATCTAATATGATGACACTGAATTATTTTTAGGGGAGTGAATTACCCTAAGTAGTAGAACTGTTTACAAAACTATTGACACTGATACTAGCCCATGTATCAAAATCCAAGGATTATTTTAATAATGAGAAGTCAATATCTTATTTTTAAAAATTTATGACTTTATCCAGTCAAAAGTATCTAAGTGTCCACATTTAACTTACATCCAACAAGTATTTATTGAGCACTTATTATTTGCCAGAAGCCATGCTAAGTAGCAACAATAGAAAGAAGATGGGACAGAAATACCTCTGCTACAGCATGCAATCAAGTGGAAGGCTGATATTTTAATCTAAATGGTTTTTCTTTTTTTTAAAAAAAAAACAGATTTTACACAGCAAGAATGAAACAAAGGTGGCTAGGAAACTATCACAATCATTCAGGAGAGACATGGTTGTGACTTAGATTAAGGTAGTAGCAATAGATATGAAAAGCAGATGAACTTTGGGAAGTGCAATATAGAATTTGCTGATAGACTAGATATGGGGAGTGGTGTCAAAAAAAGGAATCAAAGGTACTTCCAATAATTTTAACTTGTGCAACCAGGTAAATGATTTCCTCACCTATGACGGGGAAAAGCAAGGTGGGAATGTGCAAGGTAACAGCAGGAATCCAGAGTTCTGTGTGGGCTATGTTAACTTTGAGATGTGTATCAGCTAGCCATCTGAGTATGTCAAGCAACCAGACTAGGTTTTGGGAAGGTTTATCAGTTTGGGACTGATCAGCATATAAACAGTATTTCTAGACATAGGATGGTACTTCCATGAGAGTGCCACGCTGGGGCTTTAGCTGCAGCATCTGTTTTCATCTTGATTAACAACACAAGGTCGTAATTTTCTTTTTATACAGACAATATTAGATTTTTATATATGAGCCTTTTTGATGTTTAGAGAGAAATACAAGCTGAAAGTCACCCAGCTACTAAAAGGTAGAGCCTGGATTCAGATCTGGGAGTTCTTGTTCTTCCTGTTGCACCAGGTTGCTTTATTGGAGCATTAAAACATGTGAATTTCTGAGTAGAGTATTTTTTAACTTTTTGAATGAAAGATTTTTAAAAAGTCTGTTTAGAAAGAATGCCAGCTCATTCAGAATTCAATCCAAGTGTATAAATTCACTAGTCTTTTCTGTTGTTAAGTGACTTCTCTGGGGTAGATGACCTGATGTCTTTTTTTCCCTTTTTTAAACAAACAAAAAAACTTCTGTGGTTGACAGGAGCCGACAGGTGAGGAATGGAGAGACGTTGGTCAACTAGTACACACTTTTGGTTGTAAGATGAATATGTTCTGGAGATTGAATGTACAGCATGGTGACTATAGTGATAATTCTGTATTGTACACTTTGAAGTTTGCTGAGAGATTTTTAAGTGTTCTCACCACACACACACGTACGGGAAATATGTACGGTGACGGATGTGTTAATTAGCTTGCTTGTGGTAATCATTTCACAATGTACATTTACATCTAATCATTACTTTGTATACCTTAAATATGCACAATTTCTGTCCATTATACCTCAAAAAAGCTGAGAAAAAAACCCCTCCACTCTTTTGACTTGTGGGATACGATTATTTCTACTTCTCAAATCAAATGCCCCTTCTTCATTGACCCATAACTCATGGCTGCATTGCAGTGATTTTTAGTTTTTCCTCAGCTTACATATTCCTCCTCTACAATCTCATGTCCCCCTTGCTTCAAATACTAAATATATGCTTATCATCCTCAAATTTTTTGCCTCCTGTCCAAACACTTCTCCTTAAGTCTAGGAGATGACGTTCAAAGTTTCCTAAAAGCAATTAGTCTGGTGGGAAAGGAGGCTGCCCCATACACCCAGGAGTAATGAGGAGAGAAGTTCAGGAACTGTGAAGGTCTCATTCTTACATACTCGCGACAGTTTCAAACCTAGTGTGGCATGCAGACATGGATGAAGCAATTACAGGCACGAGGAGCGTTAAAGAAGGGTACAAGCGAGCACGAGGGCATTCAAGGGAACTTCAAAGCTCAAAGGAAGAATCCCACTTACTCCCTCAAAACTTTGGAGTTTATCCGTTTAGTCGATTAAAAAGTGAACAGAAAGCAAATCCCATTAGGGAAGGAGGAAAGTTGGGGACAAATAAGGAATTCGTGCAGAAGGCTACACTGCGGCCGGCCAAGAAGAGAATAAGGGTACTTAAAGGAGTGTGAAGAGAATGAACACGCCTACGTAGAAAAAAACTGAAAAGCCTGGATTGGCGGACACTAAAAACCCAGCATTTGTTAAAAATCCACGGCAAAAAACACAAACAAAAACAAAACACACACGCACATACACACACAACAAAACACTCACACACACATACCCCTACCCCTCAAGCCGAGCCAGCACCGTCGCCCTGCCAGCAGCCAGAGTATTCTCAGATTCCGGGAGCACCGCGCACCGCCCACCTCGCTCCGCCCACTGTCCAGTTCGCTCCGCCCATCTTGTTCCGCCCCCTTCCCCGAAAGCCCCTCCGCAGAGCCGCGTGCACGTGTGTGGCAGATACCGCCCCCACAGCTCTCTTGGCCAATGAGAAAAAGCAACGTAACTCTCCACCGCCCGGTGGAGCGTCACGTGACTGCGTCTCCCCGCCCTCTCACCCCGCTGCTTCTAGGTTCTGGGAAGATGGCGAAGGTCTCAGAGCTTTACGATGTCACTTGGGAAGGTAACTTCGGGTGGGGACGGGTGCGGAAAGACTAAAAGCGCTGGGAAGCCGTTCGGGAGTACCCGCTGCCTTCGGAGAGCTGGATTCGCCGGTCTCTTTTTGGTACCAGAGCCCTCAGTGGACGGGCCAAGCTGAGGTGGAGGCTGAGGCTGACCCCTTCCTTGGCCCGGGCGCGTACTCCGCGGCGTTTCCCACGGTGTCTGCTCATCGGTTGACCTGCCCTCCTCCGCGCCAGTCCAGCGGCCCAGGGCCGCTTTTATTTATGAGGCGGGCGGGAGGGACTTGGGGCTAGGGTTGTCACACTCTAAGCGTGGTTGCTGGGCGGTGCGGAAGAGGCGGAATAGGTGGTTACTGAAGCTTCTTTGGAGCCAAGAAACACAGGGCCTCTAAGGCCCTTTACTAAGTGCTATGTGAGGATTACAGCTCTTTGCAGAAAAGCTGTGTAGAAGTTGCGTGAACAAATGTGATTCTCATATGCCACTCTACATTTGGTTTTCTCCTTAAACCTGGATTTCCAGTTTCTTTTCCTTTTAGTCTAGTCTCTGTCCCTCTCCATCTCAAAACACGTTTACACACACAACACAACTTCTTACTCCCTACTAGTAGATTTTTTTCTGAAGGGAAAAATAACTGATTAACTCTGGTCTACGTACGTGCTTACGTGTGATGGTCACTTTTCCCTATCCTTAGTTGATCTAGAGTGGGATATATTCTTTGAATCTGGGAACAGCCAAACCTTGGATCAATTCTGTGTGCTTAAGAAACTTGAGTTTCATTAAGGCGTGGAATTTGTGTAATTGGAATTCATATTTCCAGCATTTAGCATAATACAGGAGACTTCAGTAGCTAGTTTGTTCAACGAATGCCTTCTTGGGATGTTTTAATAATGACCTGAAAACGTGAAAGTTACATTTTCTGTTTTATCGTGAATAAATGTATCAGGTATTATAAAGTTGTAAATCCGTTACAAATAAAGCAAAATTCCTTTATACTTGAACTGAATTAAATGATTTGTTGGCTTTGCGGCCTCTAGCACGTTGTGAATCTCAGTATTTATACCTGAATTGAGGGATTCCATTATATTAAACAACAGTGTTGATTTCTTAGTGCAAAATCTTGGATCTATCAACACACAGTCCATACTTCCAAGGAATTCACAATCTAATGGAGAAAACAAACCTATAAACACAGTTTTGAAAGGCTTGTGTCAGGGTATCTTCCGTAAGCTGGATGGTAGATAAATGGCTGTTATTTTTAATGCTTTTAAAAAACTGTTTTAAATATTACATAATTTTTAGAAAGTGCTATTATGAAGGTATGTTCATTATAGCTTTCCTAGATGATAGTAGCATATGTAAAATCCTGAGGGGCGAGTAGCTGTATGCTACCAACAGACAAGGTGATTTAACTGAGTAACTTGGACCTTACCCTGTGGTCATTCTAAAGAGGATTGATGTAATTGATTTGGAATAAATAATTACTACACAAATTTGTAGGAATAAAAGAGAAACATTTTTAAGTGTTTCGTAAACTGTTAAGTACTATATAAAAGGAGGTGTTATTATTAGCTAGTACTAATATGATTATGTCCCTCCTCTGTGATCTGGCCGTTGTCCGTGTCTCCACCTTTATTTCGAGCCATTCTCCCTCTCTCTCTGTGAGCTGCCTATGCTGGCCTTTGTTGAATGCCCAAAATTGCTATGCTGCTTCTTAAAGCTGGCACATGCTAGTCCTTCCACTGGGAGTGTTCTTCCCTCCTTGCCTCACTCTTGCCCCCATTAAACTTTATCATTTTATCAATTCCCCACAAAGCTCACCTAGTACAAAAAAGCCTTAGTTGAACACTCTACTGCCCAATTCCCTTTCCTCATCTCCCACCAAAATTGAAAAAGAAAAAACCCAAACAACAAAATCAAGCAACAAAACACACCTGTAATCCTTCGATTATATATTCTGTTCTCATACTATTGAAGCACTTACCCAATTGTGTTTTTAAAATTTTGTCTCTTCTAAGATGAAAGGGACCAGGCCTGTTTCTTCACTGTCACTTCCCTAGAGCCTGACACATGGGGACGGAGCTCAGTAATTATTTGTTGACTAAATGAATTGTTAGTGGGATTAATAATAAACAGTAACACATTGTCAGAAAATATTATAAACCATTTTTCTAGCGTTGAAATAATTTCTTTAGTATCTTAAAGATTTCAGTATCTTAGATGAAATTAGGCAACTTGCTTAAGTAATAGGATACCGTGTGCTCACTAGTAAAGTGAAGGTTTAGACCTTTCCAGAATTCAAATTCTAACTTAAGGGACTTTTAAGAAAAGAGTATTCTAGATTTTTATTTCAGAGACTTATGATAACAAATTTTTAGGATGAAGGGTGATGGAAAGATTCTCAGGGATAGTGTTTTCAGATTTTTTTGGGGCGTGTGTGTCAGAGGTATGTCCTTAGGAATTCCACTGAACAGTGTTGTGAATTGGTTAGTTCAGAGTGCTATAATTCTTGTGATAGGAAAATTTATCATTTGTTTATAAAAGACCTATGTAGTAAGTTTAACACTTCCACATCTGTGTTAGACTCTACTAATAGACTATTTGGTTTGTTTCTTCAGCCAGTTGAAAGTGATTAATACTTACTACGTAGGGAAGTTATTAGACATTTGGAGGTGGGAAAGAGAATTTAGACTTGTAAGGAGAGTATATTCAAGTTTCTTGAGAATGTGATATTTGGGCAGGACATGGATAGGATGCCTAGAACAATGCCAGGCACATAATAGGCATTAAATGAGTATTTGTTGAAAACAAAAAATGTATGAGAAATGTTTGAGAGCAATTTAGTTGTTTATGTTCACTGCCCCTACTTCCTCTCTTTTTATTCAGACCTTCAACCTCAATTTGATTTCCATGCCCTACCACTCCACTAAGATCTCTAGGAGATCTAATAATAACATGTATTTTGTATACTTCTACTACTTTTGCTATTGTAGAGCACTCCTCTGTGGAAAACTCTTTCTTTGCTTTCTTAATGACATTCTTCTTGTTTTCTCCTTTCTTTTTGGGCCTTTGTTGAGTTCTCTACATCCATTTGCTCATTTTTTGGTGTTTCAGTGTTTCTTAGTCATCGTCTTAATCTGTTATTGGTGGTTTTTAAGTTTGAGATCAATAGACTTTAAATTGATGCAAGCATAAGTGTCATATGGTCTGATGAAATCGGGCAAAATTTAGTGCATGTGTAAACATACATAGTTCTGGGAAAAGATGGTTCAGAGTTCTCATTAGCTTTGAAGATACCTAAAATAGATTAAATGGTATCTGTGGGCAATCTTATCCACATCCAATTTTAGCTATCAATTAGCCTATATAGTAAATAACACATTAAACATATATTTGAGTACTTTGCACCAGGCACTGTTGTAGTTCTTGAGGGTATAGTGCTAAGTAAGACAGGCAAGGCCCCAGATTTCAAGGGACATACCCTGAAATTTCACTTGTAAACTGAAGATCCATATTTCCAGTGTTCTACAGGGCACATGTAATGGATGTTTCACAATTAACAAAACTCAAAACTGAACTCATCATCTTCCTTTTGCCTTCTGCCTCCAACATCACTGCTGTCACCACTTAATTCTTTTCTGCATTTTCCCTAGAAATGTAGATAACACTGTGTACCTCTCCTCATTCATAAAACAACTTCTGCTCACCTTTTAAGATATAGATCTATGAGACTTCAAAGCCTGGAAAGTACAGATATGTATGGCAATGAAGTATATGCTTTGCAACGTCACTAGACGTTTCCAGTAAAATGTCTTTCTAGGTAAACTAGAAAGGTAGGTAAAAACTAGAAAGGTAGGTTGGTGTCTTGAATGCTAGACTAAAGAGTTCAGAATTCTTTTTTGTATATAGATGGGAGGCAAGGTCCTAAATTCAAAAAGAAAAAATCAATGGCTCCTTTCATTAAACTTTTGCATGTTGATATAGAACAGGGCCTTTTCTTTGGTAGAGATCTGCTGATTGAAATTCCTTGTCATGTTTAATAAACCATGTTTGGTTTTGCTTTCTTTAATGTGGAGCAGGAACATAAAGTCCCTAATATAGAAGCTTCAGTGCATAAATCTTTTAGATTTTTGTTATTTTTCTCATAATATTTTAAATTAAGTCTCCATATTTAATATGACAGCAGTTTTTCAGAGCTATTTACTTTTATGGAGTCTTTTCAAAGCATACAACTTTGTTTTTTAGAAACCAGTCTCTTTTCGCACTTAAGTTTTCTTTGGCTTATAATATTTCATTATACTATATAATTACATTAAATTTAACTGGCATGAACTGGTTTGGATACAGGTAGCTAAATTTTTAAAATGTAATAACTGTTGGAAACAGTTAACCAAGAGCTAGCTGATACGACTTATTAGCTAAGAGCTTCTAAAATCTTAGTGGCCACGATTATTAAGTTTTGTAGAAAGCAATTCTTTGAGTTGATTCTAACCGGAAGATGATTAAGAGAATTTTTACTGAACCTCATTAATCTCTCCATCATATTTTAATTACTTGTTTACATTCTTTACACACAGAGATCTTCTCAGTCCTTCCGTTGACCAGCCATAGTGGTGAGAATCAGAAAACAAGCTCTCAGTAAATGCTCGTTTGTTCAGTGGGTGAATGCTAGGACATGAAGCTTGTTTTTGAAGTTTGACCCACTAGTGTATGTAGTAATGGTAATAATAATGAAAATAGTATATGAAACATTTTGTGTACATTGTCTCTTTTAATCCTCACACGTATCTTATGAAATAGGCTTTATTTCCAGTTTGTAGATGAGGAAGCAAGCGAGAGGTGAAATGACTTGTCTAATATCCCACAGCTAGTAAAAGGGAGTCCTGTGATTTGAGCTGCTCTTATACACTTCTCCCCCACTGAGTTATTAACTAATTAAGTTCTTCCACCTAAGCTGTCATTCTGTTATTCTTGGAATATGCCAGATTAGTTTCTTTCTCCAGAATTTAGATTTGCTGTTTATGGTTGGCTCCTTCTCATTCCTCTCTTAGCTTGAAAATGACCTTCTTAGAGAACCTTCTCTGACCACCCTTTCCAAAAGCTCCTCCTTTCTCCCAGTCTCCTAACTTTATCATACGGTCTTTTAGTTTTATTTGTGTAATTTCACTATCTAAAGTTATGTGGATTTTCATCTTTTTACCTATTAGACTCTAAGCATTATGAGTATATAGGATATCTTTTTCTTTCTTTATCCTCAATGCCCAGATCAGCCTGACACGTAGTAGGCATTGAGTAAATATTAGTTGAATGAAGAAGAACAATATTTACTCCAAGAAGTAAGTATTAGTTGAATAATGAAGTAAAGTTCCAGTCATACACTATACTGCCTCAAAGAAGGTAGAAATCATTGGGTATCTTAAGAATTTAAATTGTAATGAAGTAAATCTTTAGAAATGTCTGCTAGTAATTTACAGATTGAATTCGGGTGGAGAGATCAGTTTGGAAGCTATCCTAGCAGTTTTAGCATGGGGTGATGAAAGCCTGGGCATGCATAATAGCAGTGGAAATAGACTAGAAGATGTAAATCTTAGAAATACTTCAAAAGAGTCCACAGGACTTAGATAACCAAAGTAGGAGTCAGAAACAGCATTCAAAAGTGGAATGTCAGGTAGTATTAACAGAAAGTAGAATTAACAGAAATGTGAACATTGAGAAGGGAAGCCATATTTTTGGGAATTGAAGATGACTTGATTTTCGGATGCTGTGATTTTGAGGTAATGAACTATCAAAGGTGAAAACGTGTTTTCTTCAAGACAGTTTTATTTTTATGAATAACTTTTTAGATAAATGTACTTAAGGCATTTCTAAAAATAGTATGTGACTAATAGTGCAACAAATGTATTTATTATAGCAGCACTCGAGTGTGGCAGGGTCAGCTAAGTAAGGTATGTAGCTTAAGGTGTTTATAGGTAAAATGTTGCTTGTTTTGTAAAAGTTATATTTTCATACACAGTGTTTCTTGTTTTGTGTTCAGCTATTATATTTTAATATGTTTGTGACTGTGTATCAGACTGTTGTTTTTAGAAGTTATACTTTAAAAAAGTGTTCTCTTTCCTCCAAGAGTGTTTTTCCACAATGAGAAATACCTTTTACAAATTAACTCGTACTCAATTAAGTATACATATACATGAATCTTTGAGTGTATGTATAAACTGAAACCAAAGTTTCATTTACAAACTATTCTTATGAGTATTGCATTCTGTTCATTTTGTTTCATTCTCCCCCGCACCCCCTCCCCTACCAATATATTCTGGAAGAAATCCACTAAATTGATTTTATACCTTATTAATGGATTGTAATACACAGTTTGAAAAATACTTCTCCTGGAGCTCTGTGTGCATTAAAATAACGCTTTCCTTTTTCAAATCAGATTGCCTTTTCTTTTAGAATAGCTGTTCCCAACAGCCTGCAGCCAATCTGACTAGATACTTTTATGGGACTATGAATAATTTAGAATTTATTATCCTGTAGTTATCAACCTTTTAAAAGAATATACTGGTTTATGTAAATGAATCTGTAAGTGGTATTTCTGAATATATAACAAAATGAAGTGGAAAAGATACAGGATTGGCGGAAGTAGTTTTGGACTAAAGAAATCAGCAGAATTAAGTAGCTGACATATTTTTCCATCTTTCAGAGGTCACCTCACTGCAGTGGCACCTCATGCAAGTTGTCATGGAAGGAATAAACAGAACAATCATAGCCACTCTCTTAACCTTTGACCTTTAGCTCATCCCACAGGGTTGCACAGTAGTTAATAAAATGTACAAGCAAGCAGTGAGCAGCTTACTTACATAGTATGTAATAAAATGACCTTGGCTTTGAGGAGCAGGCCTTTTGCAGGAGGGTGAAAGGGTAAAATGAAAATTTTAAGCCACCTTTGAGGAAAGAGTGAGGGAAGAGCCTTTATTTCTTTTGAGAGACTGAAACAGTTATCAGATTTTTTTTTTTAAATAAAGATGACTAGAATTTTTGTAGGACTTCACATTTTATAAAATGCTTTACATGAATTTTCTAGTATTTGGTTTCCTAAACTCAAAGGCCAAGCAGATGAGGAAAATACATGTAGCTGGGTGAAAGACAGTAGTGGTGCCTATGAAGAACTGGTAAGTGTATATACCCTTATCTAAGGGTAATCAAAATCAACTTAAAAACAAAAATATCCAAACTGTTGTACTAACCAAGCAACTTTATATATATATATATTTTATGTAATCTTAAGTGCTCATCCCTGAGCTAAAGGTAATACTATCTATTCATTGTTATTGGAAACTAAGTACAGATTCAGTAAGTTATGTAAGGTCATGTAAAAGATGGAGTTTAGATTCAAACCAAGTGTATCAAGTCCATGTTCTTTCCAGTAGACTCTACGTCCTCCATGACCGGAGATACGGTTTAGCTGTGTGTCCCCACCCAAATCTCATCTTGTAGCACCCATAATTCCCATGTGTTGTGGAGGAGACCCACTGTGAGATGATTGAATCATGGGGACAGGTCTTTCCCATGCTATTCTCATTATAGTGAATGGGTCTCACAAGATCTGATGGTTTTAGAAATGGGAGTTTCTCTACACAAGCTCTCTTTCTTTGCCTGCTGCCATCCACTTAGGATATGACTTTTTCCTTCTTGCCTTCCGCCATCATTGTGAGACCTCCCCAGCCACGTGGAACTGCAAGTCCAGTTAAACCTCTTTCATTTGTAAATTGCCCAGTCTCAGGTGTGTCTTTATCAGCAATGTGAAAACGGACTAATACCACCGGTTTCTTTTCTTTGAACTGTTTACTCCTTTCCAGTTTATCTTTTGGGGCTTTTTGTTTTTGCTTTTGTTTCAAATTTATTTATTTTTAAAATTGACACATAAAATATAAAATTCTAGGTTTTTTTTTTTTTTTTTTTTTTTTTTTTGCATCAGAATGATTTTCCTGTCAGACAGCTATGATTGTGTTGCTTTTCTTTTGCTCAGTATTTTTTAGTTGTTCTGTACCTTTAAAAACAAACTTAAACGTTCTTTAGTATAAAATAAACGTCTTCCAAGAAACTCACTCACCTTGTTGTACACTCATTTCCCGATCCTAGTGTGTTTATTTAATTCTGAACTACCAGTAGTTCTTTCTGTGTAGGATAACTTACTTTGTTATTTGCCTGTTGTCGTTTTTCAACTTTTAAGAGACGGGGGTCTTGCTCTGTTGCTCAGAATGGAGTGCAGTGGTGCAATCACAGCTCACTGCAGCCTCAACCTCCAGGCTCAAGTGATCCTCTACATCAGTCTCCTGAGTAGCTGGGACCACAGGCAGGTGCCATCATGCCTCTTTTTTGTTGTTTTTTTGTTTTGTTTTGTTTTTGAAACAAAGTCTTGCTTTGTCACTCAAGCTGGAGTGCAGTGGCACGATCTCAGCCCACGCAACCTCCACCTCCTGGGTTCAAGCTGTTCTTTCTCAGCCTCCTGAGTAGCTGGGATTACAAGTGCTTGCCACCACAGCTGGCTAATTTTTGTATATTTAGTAGAGACAAGGTTTCGCCATGTTGGCCAGGCTGGTCTTGAACTCCTGGATCAAGTGATTCTTCTGCCTTGGGCTCCGAAAGTCCTGGCATTACTGACATAAGCCACCATGCCTGGCCCATTCATCACTTCTAAAGATAGTCGTAATACCAGTTGTAATGCTGTTTCAGCCTTCTAAAGGATCTGTTGCCTTTGTTCAGTTAATTTTCTACTTTATCAAATTTGAGCTACCACAGACTTCTACATGATTGTGAGTTTATTTTCCTTACCTAAAAAGTTGATTTTGTCTTGTCAGGTTTTTGACATCTATCTGGTGTGTATGCGTGTGTCTGGGTACATATACACTTAAATGTCATGTTACTTTTTTCAGAAATGCGAGATAAAATGAGAAAATGGAGAGAAGAAAACTCACGAAATAGTGAGCAAATTGTAGAGGTTGGAGAAGAATTAATTAATGAATATGCTTCTAAGCTGGGAGATGATAGTAAGTTCTTTTTATTACATTCAGGCTCAGTACATGTCTCATTTATGGGCCTTTTTTTTTTTTTAACTATTCTTTCATTTATGATTTTTCTACTTGTTAATCTTCTTTGTGACTTTTCATCCCAAGACTTTTAATGATAGTTTATTTTGAGATGGATTTATAATTGCTTGGTAGTAGTAAGCTATCAAATAGGCATTTTGTTTTAAAGCTCAAAGGGCTGCCAAATGTCTGACCGAAATGTATTGTCTAAGGACTCTTGTAGAACAGTAAAAGTATTAAATCATTGGAGATTTTAATCTTATATTAACATATTTTACACTGCTGAAACATGTAAGAATGCGTTCTTTCCTTAGTTTCAGAGATAATACAATAAATCAATTTTCAGTTGTAAGTAATATTTTCTAGAAATATCAGAAACTAGAATTCATTAATTTCCATTTGTTTTATTTTTTAATATTAAATTTAGTTTTTTTCCCACCTCTGTATGTTTCTAGTTTGGATCATATATGAACAGGTGATGATTGCAGCACTAGACTATGGTCGAGATGACTTGGCATTGGTAGGTATTTAAATGAAGTATATATTTAATTTGCTTCATGAATTGTATACCGTAGTTAAGACTTAATGTATGGCTTATATGGAATGCTTTCTATAGCTGGTTTTGAGTGCTACTCTGAACAGTAAGTGGAACTAACTGGGTATTTTAGGACAAAGTATCTTAAATCTTTTTATTAGTCCTGAGAAGTAGCTGTTTAGTATCCTAGTTTTACTGAAAAGATTTAGTTACTGAAATTTGTCTGCTTAGTAGGTAACTTATCCTATTATATAGAGTTTAAAGTAAGAAAGTTTAAAACAATTTTATCTTTTGTGTTATTGAATGACTTTCATAGAATGTAATGTTCAATACTATTACACAATATTATAAACATATCTGACATAAGAAAATCCTGATGTATAGAACATAACTTAAAATACTAATAATATTTGGCCAGGTGAGGTGGCTCACGCCTGTAATCCCAGCACTTTGGGAGGCCGAGGCAGGCGGACCACCTGAGGTCAGGAGTTCAAGACCAGCCTGACCAATGTGGTGAAACCCCCATCTCTACTAAAAATACAACAAATTAGCTAGGTTTGGTGGAACATGCTTCTAGTCCCAGCTACTCTGGGGGCTGAGGCAGGAGAATCGCTTGAACCTGGAAGGCAGAGATTGCAGTGAGCTGAGATTGTGCCACTGCACTCCAGCCTGGGCAACAGAGCAAGACTCCGTCTCAAAACAAACAAACCTAATACTATAGTTTTTAAAATAACACTGTAATGATAGCTGTGTTTTTGGACTTGTGCTAGGAACGAAGCTAAATGCTTTACTTCATGCTTTTATTGAGCCTTCATAATTATTTATTGATTTGATTTGTGTTTGATGTTATTATTATATTTATTTTATAAATCAGAAAGTAGAGGCGTCTGTTCTGTTGTTCCTATCATCTTGAATTCTTAAGTACCACTTCATGCTGCCTCTGTATTTAAACTGAAAGAAAATATACAAAAACAAAAAATTGAAATACCTGAAAAAAAATCACATCTGAATTAGTATTATCCTTTTCAAGGTTGGGTTGGCCATACATGTAAATCTAGTGGAGCTGTTAGTGGTGAAAACATTCCACAAAACCTTTGTTGGATTACCTTCAGTACCTATGAGACATAGTCTTTTGAGTATTCATAGAGGTGGCAGTTTTATATCTTGAGAGGTTTTTATTTTTATTTTTTTGAAATAGCCAAATATCACTTAATAAAGTAGGAAGTCAAATTAGAAAACACTGTTGATTAATAAAGCAGTATATCCAGTTAAACAGTAACTTTTTAATGGTTAAGATTATTTATACAGTTAGCTTGCTTGACTGACCAAGTAATATGATTTTGCTTGATATCAAAAAAATAAATGAACATATCTTCACTTTTGACTAACTTGAGTATTTTTCTTACTGTGGCAAATTTCAGCCACAAACTTTGAAGCTGTATTTCCAATTCATATTAAAACTTATTTTATTACCAGTTAATAGTTTCATCGGTAGTTAATAGCATTATTTTGGTCACACATGCATTAATATGCTTCAGTGGACCATTTGTATAATCTTTAACATTTCTAGGACTTCCAAAACTTATAATCCTTCATATGTTGCAGAGAATGTAGTTACTCAGTAAATATTTGATTATTTAGTCAAGTTGATGAGTCAGTTATGGATACTTGTTCAAAAAAATTGGTATTCCATCCGTTTAGTGTCTGCATTTTCTGACCCCCAAATCAGGATATGTTGATTGAAAGGATGATTGATTGACTGGGTGCAGTGGCTCACGCCTGTAATCCTAGCACTTTGGGAGACTACCGCAGGTGGCCACTGCAGGTGGATCACCTGAGGTCAGGAGTTCGTGACCAGACTGGCCAGCATGTTGAAACCCCTTCTCTACTAAAAATACAAAAATGAGCTGGGCGTGGTGGCAGGCACCTGTAGTCCGAGCTACTTGGGAGGCCGAGGCAGGAGATTCGCTTGAATACGGGAGGTGGATTTTGTAGTAAGCCAGGATCGTGCCACTGCACTCTAGCCTGGGTGACAGAGTGAGACTCCATCTCAAAACAAAAAAAAAAGGAAGGTTTATGGATTAATATAAAATTTCAACAGGACAAAATTAAACACTTAATGTTATTTGCTAGGAACTTGAGATGACTACTAAAAAACTTAGTTCTTACCAGTAGAATGCTTATGCTGCAATTAGGAAGAAAATGGCAAGCGCTGTTATCATTTAAGTAGGAGGCTGACACATAGTAGTAGTTTTTAAGGAGGAATAATATGATATTAGTACTTGAAGAGTTATTAGCGGTTCTCATAATCTGCTTATTTTCCTGGTTAAGAGCATGATCAGTTTCTAAACTGATTGTTGCCTTCACTGTAATGTCGTAGTTCTTCTTTCAATCCATTGTTACTGATTAATTTTACTTCATGTTATTAGATGACACTAATGAAATTATTCAAGAAAACACATTGAAGACTATATAGGCCATTCATTATAGCCCATTTAGTATAAATAATGTAATTACTACTCAACTCTTGTTTTTTTTCAGTTTTGTCTTCAAGAGCTAAGAAGACAGTTCCCTGGCAGTCACAGAGTCAAGCGATTAACAGGCATGAGATTTGAAGCCATGGAAAGGTAACCAAATCTTGTCAACAGTGTGATCCTATTAAAACTGGCAGGCATGGAGCTTATTAATCATGGTGGTGTTAATTTTTTTTTTATTTCAAACATTCTAGAGTGTGTGAAATACTGTCTCATGGCTTTAATTTACATTTTTTGATGACTAATGACGTTGAAAACCTTGTCATGTCTGCTTAGATATTCAAATAACTTCTTTTTGAAGTATCTTCTTTAGTCTTTACCCGTTTAAAAAATTGGGTTGTTTCACCTTTTTTGCTGCTGATTTGTGGGAGGTCTTTATATATTCTGGATAAAAACTTTGTCAGATATATGTGCTGTGAATATTTCTCCCTATTCTCCTGCTTGAATATTTTATTTTCTAAATGGTGCCTTGTGAAGTAGAGAAGTTTTTAATTCCGATGAAGTTTAGTTTATCATGTATTTTTAATCGTTAGTGATTCTTTTGTCCTGTCCAATAATTGTTTTCTAATATCTCAACAATATTCGGTAGTGTTTTCTAGACAGTAGGAACAGTTAAATTATGATTATTTTTAGTTCGTAAGAGTGCTTTCAGACTATTTTTCTTTTTGCTGTCTTTTAAAATTTTATTTTCAGTACTTCTGGATGATTGTGCTGTACAGTTCAACTGTGTCCTTATATTCTGCCTATTATGTCTATTACTAACAAAGGAGTATGGAAGTCTCCAACTTTAATAGTGGATTCATCTATTTCTCCTTGCAGTTCTATTAGTTTTTGCCCCACATATTTTGATGTTCTGTTGTTCGTCACATAAGATTAAAGGTTGTTGCATTTTTCTTGAGAATGAGCCCTTTATATTATGTAATGCCCCTCGTATATCCCTACTTATTTTCCTTGTTCTGAAGTCTGCTTTGTGTGAAATTAATATAGCTCCTGAGCTTTCTTTTGGTTAGTGTTAACAGCATATCTTTCTCCTTCCCTTTATTTTTATTCTGTTGTATCTTTGTATTTTGAGGGTTTTGTGTAGACAGCATTTCGTTGGGTCATGTTTTTAAATCCACTTTGATAGTCTCTGTCTTTTCATTGGTATACTTAGACCATTTACATTTAAAGTGATTATTAATATAGTTGTTTCATTATCTGCCATATTCATAACTATTTTCTATTGATTGCTCTTTTTTCTTTTGTCATTTGTTTTCTGCCTTCTCTGATTTAATTGAGCATTTATAGAATTTCATATTTTCTCTCTCTCAGTATATCAGTTATACTTCTTTTTAAATTTTTTAAATAGCTGTCTGAGAGATTGCAATGTGTATTTAGAACTATCCAAGTCCACTTTTAAGTAACACTATACTGATTCACAGTTAGGGCAAATCCCTTACAACAGAGTATTTTTAATTCCTCTCTTTTGTCATTTGTAGCACTGCTTTCATTCATTTCACTTATTCATAAATCATAATCACCAAATACATTGTTGCTGTTACTATTTTGAGAAAACTTATCTGATCAATTAAGAATAAGAAAAAAATTTTATTTTACCTTTATTTATTCATTTTCTAATGATCTTTCTTTTTTTATATATTAGAAACTTCCAAAGGTTCTAACCAATATTATTTTCCTTTTCTCTGAAGAGCTGCTTTTAACATTTCTTGAAAGGCAGGTCTGCTGACAGCAAATTGCTTTAATTTTTGTTTGTCTGGAGTATATTTCTCCATCACAGTTAATGGACAGTTTCTCAGGATACAGAATTCTAAGTTGGTTTTCTCTCAGAACACTTCAAATATTTCCCTTTACACTTGTCTTGTTTGCATGGTTTCTGAAGAGAAGTCTGATATAGTGCTTATCCTTGTACCTGTATAAGTAATGTGTTTTTTTCTTCTGGCATCTTTTAAGATTTTCTCTTTGTTTTTGATTTTCTGTAATTTGAATATGTGTAGGTGTAGATTTTTTGGTATTGTGCTTGATGATCTTAGAGCTTACTGGATCTGTAGTTTTGTGTCTATCATAAGTTTGGGAAAATTTTTAAATGTTTTCTATATTTCTTTCTTTTTTCCTTCTAGTATTCCATTACATATATGTTACATCTTTTGTAATCGTACACACTTCTTGGATATTGTGTTCTATTATTTTTCTCTTTTTATTTCAGTTTTGAAAGTTTGTATTGATAATTCTTCAACCTCCTGACTCTTTTGGGTTATGCCCAATCTACTAATAAGCCCAAGACCATCAAAGGCATTCATCATTTCCTTTGCATTGTTTTTGATTTCCAGTATTACCTTTTGATTCTTTTTTAGAGTTTCCATCTCTGTTTACATTACCCATCTGTTTTTGCATCTTGTTTACTTTTTGCATTAGAGTCGTGAAAATACGTATCATTGTTTAAATTCCTGGTCTGTTTATGCCAATACTTCTACCATATCTACATCTGGTCTCCTGGTGCTTGTTATATCTCTTCATAGTCTGGCTATGTGTGGCTAGTTTTTACTTTTGTACTTTGGACAAATTGAGTCAGTATTTTTTTAAGGGAAATTTTCTGTAAGTACTATATACATGATCTGCTTTACTTAACAAAATAAAACTGTAGTAAACGTTTACTGTTATATGAAGATGGAAGACTTTGGTAACGATATATAAATGCGTTTAAAGCAATTATAAATGCATTTAAATTAAAAGATTAAAGCCAGTTTAATTTTTTTCTGTATTTACTATTTATCACTATATTTTTAAGGTAATAATTGTAGATGTTTCTTTTTCTTTTTAAATAGATATGATGATGCTGTACAGCTATATGATAGGATTTTACAAGAAGATCCAACTAACACTGTAAGTTGGCAGATTGTCTTGAAAAAAATTTAAAGTTTAATTTAAAAGATAAAATTAATTAATTGAGGAAATAATGGAAAGATACATAAGGAACTAGGTTTTATATTTTTAATTTTTAATTGAAAGATATTTTTATTTTTAATTTTAAATAGTACGTGATGGGCCACATTTTATTTTATATAGATTTAAGACTCTCCAATAAAATTTGACTTCTCAGCCTGACCAACATGGTGAAACCCCATCTCTACTAAAAATACAAAAATTAGCCAGGCGTGGTGGCACGCGCCTGTAATCCCACCTACTCAGGAGGCTGAGGCAGGAGAATCCCTTGAACCTGGGAGGCGGAGGTTGCAGTGAGCTGAGATTGCGCCACTACACTCTAGCCTGGGCGACAGAGCAAGACTTTACCTCAAAAAAAAAAAAAAAAAAAAATTCTAGAAGATATCTTATTAGAAAAGGGGCTAGTTATGATTTGGAAAGAGTAGACTATGTGTTTGCATAAAATATTTTGAAGTTTATGAAATACTAAATTGTTTAATTTGTGCAGTTACTTTTTAGTTGTCTTAATGAAAAATAAAATAAGCCATTTCAGTAATTAGTATATGGAATTAATGAAGGCATTTTATTTTGTTTTTGCTTTTTTCTGTCTTATACATGAATAAGAAGAAACATACCCTTTTAATTTAGTGTACTTTTGAACAAGTATATTAGTTTATTGGATAAATTATTTGTTCTAAAGGTACCTATATAGTAGTATTTGTTTGAAAAATACCCTGGTGAATTCTGTTTTTAATGTTGAGAACATTATAGTTTATTGCCATAATAGCTTTCCTCAGACTTAACCTGTTAACTAAAAAGTTACAGAGAGACTTTAGATAATATGTCAGTCATTTTAATGTTTTATGTCATTATTTCTATGCACACATATGCCTGCTAAAAGAAAATAAGTATTTTTAAAATTTTTAAACAAAAACCAGGTTGAGTTTTTTTTCTTTTATAGGAGGAGAAATTGTTATATTAACACAATAAAGATACATGAAGTTTTTCTCTTATTTGGCAAGTATTTCTTTAAAAATAGACATAAAAAAACTTATATAATGTCTGACTGTAGATTTTAAAATGTAAAATGCTTAGTAATTGAACAACAGTAACTCGATGTCTGTAGTTTCTAGAGCACATTTATCTCAGGCATTGATCATAAATTCCCTATCTCTGCTTATTTCCTTTGATAGTCTGTAATAATACTTACGTATTACAGTAGTTGATATGTTTCTTAAATGATAGTTGCTTACTTTTAATCTTTTCCCACCCCAGGGAGATTTTCTGTGGAAATTTCTTAGGGTTTTGAGTGGGTGTGTGGGGGTTTGTGTAGGGATATGTGTGTCTGTGTGTTTGTGTGTGTAAGTTTTATTGGACTTACAGTTTCTCATGGCTGGGGAGGCCTCACAAATATAGCAAAAGGTGAGGAGAAACAAGTTACATCTTCTGTAGATGACAGCAGGCAAAGAGAGCTTGTGCAGGGAAACTCCCATTTTTAAAACCATCAACTCTCACTATCAGAGACTCACTCACTATCACAAGAGCAGTGCAGGAAGCACCCACGCCCATAATTCCGTCACCTCCCACTGGGTTCCTCCCATGACGTGCAAATTGTGGAAGTTACAATTCAAGATGAGATTTGGGTGGGGACACAGTCAAACCATATCATTCTGCCCCGACCCCTCCCAAATCTCATGTCACATTTCAAAACCAATCATGCCTTCCCAGCAGTCCCCCAAAGTCTTAACTCATTTCAGCATTAATTCAGAAGTCCACAGTCCAACATCTCATCTGAGATAAGGTAAGTCCCTTCCACCTATGAGCCTGTAAAATCAAAAGCAAGTTATTTCCTAGATACAATGGGGGTACAGGCATTGGATAAATACAGCCATTCCAAATGGGGGAAATTGGCCAAAACAAAGGGGCTACAGGCCCCATGCAAGTCCAAAATCGAGTGGGGCAGTCAAATCTTAAAGTTCCAGAATGATCTCCTTTGACTTCATGTCTCACATCCAGGTAATGCTGATGCAAGAGGTGGGTTCCTATGGTCTTGGGCGGCTCCACCTCTGTGGCTTTACAGGGTACATCCTCTGGCTGCTTTCACGGGCTAGCATTGAGTGTAGATTTTCCAGGTGCACAGTGCAAGCTGTCGATGGATCTACCATTCTGGTGTCTGGAGGACGGTGGCCCTCTTCTCACAGCTCCACTAGGTGGTGCCCCAGTAGGGACTCTGTGTGGGAGCTCCTGCCCCACATTTCCCTTCTACACTGCCTTAGCAGAGGTTCTCCATGGGAGCCCCACCCCTGCAGCAAACTTCTGTCTGGACATCCAGGCATTTCCATATACCCTCTGAAATCTAGACAGGGATTCCTAAACCTCAGTCTTGACTTCTGTGCACTCACAGGCTCAACACCACATGGAAGCTGCCAAGACCTGAGGCTTGCACTGTCTGAAGACATGGCTTGAGCTCTGGGTTGGCCCCTTTCAGCTACAGCTGCAGTGGCTGGGATGCAAGGCACCAAGTCCCTAGGTTGCACACAGCATAGAACCTTGGACCTGGCTCATGAAACTACCTTTTCCTTCTAGGACTCCAGGCCTATGATGGGAGGGGCTGCCATGAAGACCTCTGACATGCCCTGGAGACATTTTCCCTATTGTCTGTGGAATTAACATTAGCTGCTTGTTACTTATGCAAATTTCTGCAGCTGGCTTGAATTTCTTCTCAGAAAATGGGATTTTCTTTTCTATTGCATTGTCAGGCTGCAAATTTTCTGAACTTTTATGCCCTGTTTCCCTTTTAAAACTGAATGCCTTTAACAGCACCCAAGTTACCTCTTGAATGCTTTGCTGCTTAGAAATTTCTTCCACAAGATACCCTAAATCATCCTTCTCAAGTTCAGAGTTCCACACATCTCTAGGGCAGGGGCAAAATGCCACCAGTCTTTTTGCTGAAACATAACAAGAGTCACTTTTGCTCCAGTTTCCAACAAGTTCCTCATCTCCATCTGAGACCACCTCAGCCTGAATTTCATTGTTTGTGTCATCAGCATTTTGGGCAAAGCCATTCAACAAGTCTCTAGGGGGTTACAAACTTTCCCACATTTTCCCATCTTATGAGCCCTCCAAACTGTTTCAGCTTCTGCCAGTACCCAGTTCCAAAGTTACTTCCACATTTGTGGGTACCTTCAGTAACGCCCCACTCTGCTGGTACCAGTTTACTGTGTTAGTCTGTTTTCATTCTACTGATAAAGACATACCCTAGAAGACTGGGCAATTTACAAAGAAAAAGGTGACTTACAGTTCCACATGGCTGGGGAGGCCTCACAGTCATGGCAGAAGGCAAGGAGGAGCAAGTCACATCTTACATGGATGGCAGCAGGCAAAGAGAGCTTGTGCAGGGAAACTCCCATTTAAAAACTATCAGATGTTGTGAGACTCATTCACTATCATGAGAACAGTGCAGGAAAGAGATGCCCCCATAATTCAGTTACCTCGCTGGGTTCTTCCCATGATCCATGGGAATTGTGGGATTTCCAATTCAAGATGAGATTTGGTTGGGGACACAGCCAAACCATGTGAGTGTGTGTGTGTGTGTGTGTGAATGTGTATGTGTGTGATGTGTTTGTTTTGTTGTTTGATGTGTTTGTTTTGTTGCTGAGAACTTTCATTATTTTGTGAAGATTCTCAGAATATAGAAAGTTCAAGGAAAACTTTTGACAGCTGCAAACCTGTCTAATAAAAAATAAAAATAAGAAATAGCTTCTATAAGCTTATATAGATACTGAGAATAAAAAGTTAAAATTGGAAAGTTTTTGAATAATTTCCTAATCTTACAATTCTAATAGCTTACCATCTGTCTTAGTTCAACAGTTTCTTAGAAAAAGCACCCATTTTTTTTTTCTGAAGATTTTCTCATGTACTTATTCTTCACTTATAAGACTTCATTGTGGTTTCAAAGATACTCATTTTTCACTTAGCCATAGATTGAAAAAACTGAAATCAAGTTTTTGAAAACAGCTTCTGAATTTTATTTTTCTCATCCCAGGTTAAAAATCAATATAATTTAATTTTGGAATTAGGAATACAGTATTTTAATTCTGTCTCAGTTTACACTGGAAATTTTTAATAAGTTATTTCACTTCTTCAGAATATAAGATAATGTATAATTATTGCTCTGTCTTTGTAGTACCTTTCATATTTTATTGCTTTTTGTGACTTTTAAAACTGGCTGAAAGAGAAATCCAAATGTTTCCTCCCATAGAATATGTGTGAAGTGGTACAAATTGAACATCCTTACGCTGAAAATTTGTAATCCAAAATGCTTCAAAATTCAGCACTTTTTGAAGAATGAAATAATGTCACAGGTGAAAAATTTCACCTCTGATCACATGTGATAAGTCACAGTCAAAACACAATGAAAACTTTGTGTTCTGCACAAAATTATTTAAAATATTGTATAAAATTGTTACCTTCAGGCTATGTGTATATGGTGTATAGGAAATGTCAACCAATTTTGTGTTTAGAGTTGGATCCTTATCACTGTGATATCTCATGTATACAGAAATATTCCAAAAATTGAAAATATCTGAGATGTGGAACACTTCTAGTTTCAAGCATTTTGTATAAGGGATACTCCCTGTAGTAACTAAATCCCCTACCGGTAGGTAAACATTTGAGAGCAAGGCGACTTAATTCAGCTTTGCTAAATGTATTATTTTTTTAATCAAACATGATCTAGTCTTTTCTCAGTCCCTTCTTTCCTTCTGTAAACATGTATTGAATACCTCTCATGAACCATCAAAGAGTTGCCCTTACTAAGAGTAGAGATACTGTTTTTGTTCCTGTGTCCTTAGGAAGCACTGTGCTAGACATTGAAGGAGAAAACATACCTGTAAAACACCTAGAACTAATAAAGTCTATAAGTAGGCTCACTAATATGCAACGGTTAAAGTTACTGTGTA